TTGGCCGAGATTATTATTATTATTATTATTTTTTCTGTTATCGTGTTAAAATTAAATTAAAATTAAATTCTCACTATGTTAATTTCCATAGACATTAACGTAATATCGAGATATCGCATGTAAACTCGACATACAGAATATATAAACGATCGTACGTATCGCATTAATTGTCTCCGCTGCAAGGATCGTGAGAAGGGTTCACGATCGCCGTGACGATTCATGTGAAATGATCGAATTAAAAACTATTGCACGTTGAGCCGCTTATAATGCGTTATTCATTATCACTCGGCTACCTTGCTCGAGAAAATAGTTATTTATAGTGAGAAATAATTAATTAATAACAATACTCGGGTACAACAACAATATTGAAATTATCGTGGAAAAAGAACGAAATAAAATATAGAAGAAGAAGCTTACAATCAACTTTGAATCAAATAATTTTTATAAATTGTTGTAACGCAACATCGACGAGAATCGTCTAATTTGATTGATAACGATAATTGTTCAATCACTGAAACTATCATTTTTTCCGTAAAAACAAATTATCGTAGAGGGTTTAAACGATTCTCGTTTGTACAAATAATACCACAATTGATTTCAATTCTGATGTTTCCACATTAAGCAACGATATATATCGAGACCGTTATTATTTAACGCTTCGAAATGGTGAACGTATTACGTTGGTGTCGATAAATTGAATTAACTAGAGAATTAATAATAATACGTGAAAAATGAAACGAATTTTTTGATGTAATAGTCAATGTAATATTTTAAATCGCACGAGTGGAAGGATGATGGCGAACTTGTATGCGAAATTTGTTCGAAACGGAAACAACGATCTCACTGTGCTCGCTCAAAGACAACGCGCATCTTTATGCGAGTTCTTCGCCTACAGATACGTATTGTACAGTTTCCATCAAAATTCTATGAAATTACATTCACTTATGATACATTGCACTTACTTCTTACACATCACGATAAACACGCGAACTTTTATTTACATTCTGCTCCGCGCGCCTCTATCTCTATTACGATCTTAACGCCCTATCGTTTAGCGGTTAAATACCTTTTTCTTTTCTTTTTCTTCGCTACTCGCTACAACTTGGATCGATCTATTTCTTCTAGAAGGAACGAATGAGTCATATTACACTCGCTGTCTCACACTGAGGACAAAGAACGTGAGTCTTCGAGTTTCTTCCAATTCGATGCGATAATATTTTGTTCTTCAAAGAAAAAAAAAAAAAAAAAAAAAAGAGAAAAGAAAAGAGAAAATAAACTTTCATCGATTCGATGAAAGATCCAACGATATATCAAATATATAACTGTGACTATGGTATATTATATTTTCGTCACGGCGTTCGCTAATTGCACACTGTTTAATAATTGTTAACTCTCGCAAAGTACGATTAATAAACAACCCAAGATCGAGGGATAAATCGATGAAAAAGGGGGGGCTTTTCGACTCGAACGAATTTAAAAAAAAAAAAAAAAAAAAAAAAAA